AAAGACAAGGTTTCTCATTGCTGACTTGAAAAAGTTGGTGACTTGGCTAACCAATAAAAAGAGATTAAATAAATGATACTAACTTTGATCAAATTTGGATATTTTTTAGTATCATTTTTACAGTTTATCTTCTTACTTTTAACATCAGTATCTTTATATTATTTTTTAGTTTATGTGGAAAACGAATTACTGATATTTAAAAATTTAGGCAATTGTTTTGTCAAAAAAAAAAAACTGCCTAACAAATTTAGGACAAATCTGTTATAACACATATCATATATGGACTCTTATACCGGCTCATTAGGCCCATCAGGGCATTGTACTTAACCTAAATTCCCTATGTACTCTATATATACATTCCAGTGATTAATAAAGTTTCTAAGAAGTTTTCACAACACGTTATCAGCACGATAAGACTCTCTGAGCGAAAAACCCTAATAAATCCGGCCACCACCAAAACCCTAAAAGCAAGTCGAAACTTAAAAGACGCATATCTTCCAAACCGTGAGGAACCAGAAGACGATCTACATATCAAATCGAAGCCCTCGACGAGACGAATCTACTGGTGAAAACCGTTTGTCGATCCAACGTCGGACGCGCCCTCACGCACACTTACAGTACACGACGATCAACCGAAAAAAAAACCAGATCCGAGTTTTTCCTTCTTCAACCAGCAGCTTCTCCAGTTTTGGTGATCAATCCTTGGAATTTGTAGCGGCTAACTGAGGTCTATTAGCTCCCAGTTTCATTAGCCTGTCAGAAATCCAAAGGTGGAAAAGCACACCAGCAAATGGAAACCATAGTCGTAGATAGTGGATCCAGCCACACTATCTTAAGAAACAAAAGTTACTTCATAAACCTAACCTATCAAACCGCAAATATTAGCACCATCGCGGGTCCCTCAAACCTTATCGAAGGATATGGCCATGCCTATGTGTTGCTATCAAATGGCACACAACTTGAAATACCAGATGCTCTATATTCTCCTAGTTCGAAGAGAAATCTTCTGAGCTTCAAGGATATAAGACAGAATGGTTTCCACATAGAAACCCAAGGTCAAGGGAACAAAGAATCCCTCCTAGTCACTAAAACCGTAGACGGCCATAAACAAATCCTCGAAACCATACCCGCGTTCTCTACTGGACTTTACCATGCTAAAGTCAGTATGATTGAAGCTAATACCACTCTCAAAGCCCGGTTTACTGATTATACTATTTGGCACGACCGGCTCGGTCATCCCGGTGCAAATATGATGCGTAAACTAATTCAAAACTCTCAAGGGCATACCCTCAAAGAAAACCGAGCTTATCCTCAACACCTCATGTGCACAGCTTATCCTCAATACTTCATGGTCCTTATAGACGCATCGACCCGTTGGTCATATGTTTGTCTCTTGTCCTCTCGGAACCAAGCCTTCGCTAGGTTCTTGGCCCAAATCATAAAATTGCGGGCCCATTTCCCTGACTTCCCACTAAAGACTATCCGCCTTGACAATGCTGGTGAATTTACCTCACAAGCGTTTAATGACTACTGTATAGCTATGGGGGTAACCGTGGAACATCCTGTAGCACATGTCCATACTCAAAATGGATTGGCTGAATCATTCATTAAACGCATTCAATGGATAGCCCGACCATTACTCATGAGATCAAAGCTCCCGGCCTCAGCATGGGGACATGCAGTATTACATGCTGCTGAACTCATACGCATCCGGCCATCTAGTGAACACAAATATTCCCCATCCCAACTACTCTCGGGTCATGAGCCAGACATCTCCCATCTCAAAACATTTGGGTGTTCAGTATATGTACCCATTGCTCCACCACATCGAACCAAAATGGGACCTCAAAGAAGGATGGGAATATATGTTGGTTTTGACTCTCCCACCATCATAAGATATCTCGAGCCAACCACTGGAGATCTCTTCAAGGCCAGATATGCGGATTGCCAATTCGATGAATCGGTATATCCCTCTTTAGGTGGTGAGACAAACAAGCTGGTCAAAGATCTTTCATGGAATCAAACATCATTAAATTGGCAAGATCCTCGGACTCTAGAATGTGATTCAGAGATCCAAAAGATTATTCATTATCAAAAGCTAGCTAATCAATTGCCAGATTCCTTTGCTGACCCGACCAAAGTAACCAAATCGTACATCCCAGCTTGTAATGCACCAGTACGAATAGCTGTCCCAACGGGACAGACCCAAGTTGCTACAGAGTCTGCACCACGTCTCAAACGGGGCAGACCTCTCGGTTCCAAAGATAAGAATCCCCGGAAATCAAAGAAAGGTGCAATAACCGAAACCGGGATTCCTGCAATATCAGACATAGCCGCGGCTGAGACTCAATCTAATGAACCCTCAATGGAAGTTCGGGAAGCCGAATCTCCAGGTTCAGAAGATAACAATGAGATCTCCATCAATTACAATATGTCCGGAATACAATGGAATCGAAAAGAAGTCGACTTAAATGCACTCTTTGCATACAAAGTAGCACTTGATGTTGCGCTCACGCAAGAGGATCTAGAACCCACGTCAATAACACAGTGTACACATCGAACAGATTGGCTAAAATGGAAAGAAGCCATAAACGTGGAGTTAAAGAGTCTCAAACTCAGAAACGTGTTCGGTCCGATCATCCGGACCCCATCACACATCAAGCCAGTGGGCCACAAATGGGTCTTTGTGCGCAAAAGGAACGAACTCGGTGAAGTCGTTCGATACAAAGCACGGCTTGTAGCACAAGGATTCTCACAGAGACCCGGAATCGATTATGAGGAGACTTATTCTCTAGTGGTGGATGCAACAACATTCCGATTCCTCATAAGTCTGGCCATAAGAGAAAATCTTGATCTGCGGTTAATGGATGTTGTAACCGCATATCTCTATGGGCCTCTGGACAACGAAATATATATGAGACTCCCAGATGGCATTGAACTAAAAGACAAAAATGCATCTCGAGATTAATACTGCATCAGGCTGAACAAATCCTTGTATGGACTGAAACAAAGTGGGCGTATGTGGTACAACCGCCTCAGCGATTACCTCATCAAAGAAGGCTACAAAAATGACCCCATCAGTCCATGCATCTTCATCAAGAAGTACTCAAACAAAGGATTTGTAATCATAGCAGTATACATGGATGATCTAAACATCCTCGGAACATCTGGTGAGATCTCCCAAACAGTCGACTGCTTAAAAGCAGAATTCGAAATGAAAGACCTAGGCAAAACAAAATACTGTTTGGGATTACAACTTGAGTACATCAAAGGAGGAATCCTTGTGCATCAATCGGCTTATATCGAAAAGGTACTCAAGCGATTTAATATGGACCAAGCTCACCCATTGACCAGCCCAATGGTAGTTAGAAGCTTAAGTGATGACCCTCTTGGTCCCAAAAAGGATGATGAAGAAATCCTTGGTCCTGAAAAGCCATACCTCAGTGCTGTAGGAGCGTTAATGTACCTGGCTAGTCACACTAGACCAGACATATGTTTCGCCGTGAACCTCCTCGCTCGATATAGTTCATCTCCAACTCAGAGGCACTGGAACGGTATAAAACATCTCCTAAGATACCTTCGAGGTACTCAAGACTTAGGACTCTTCTATACTAACCAAAATAAAGATGGGTTAGTCGGCTTCGCCGATGCAGGATATCTATCAGATCCGCATACTGCCAAGTCTCAAACTGGCTACGTTTTTACGCATGGAGGAACAGCCATCTCTTGGAGATCAATGAAGCAGACACTCACTGCCACTTCATCAAACCATGCTGAAATCCTAGCCATTCATGAGGCTAGTAGGGAATGCGTCTGGCTGCGCTCCATGACTCAGCACATCCGCAGAGATTGTGGTATGGACGAAGACACACAGCCCACGGTGATGTATGAAGACAACGCGGCATGCATAGCTCAGCTCAAGGAAGGATATATCAAAGGAGATCGGACGAAGCACATTCTACCGAAGTTCTTCTCAACCTCAGACTGGCAGAAGGACGGCACTCTCAGCGTTCAGCAGGTCCGATCCAGTGAGAATTCAACTGACCTCTTCACCAAATCATTGCCTACTTCAACACACCGGAAGCTCGTCAAACAGATAGGAATGTATAGACTTAGAGATCTGCAGTGATGCTACAATCAGGGGGAGTAATGCGTGTTGTACTCTTTTTCCTTCACCATGGTTTTGTCCCACTGGGTTTTTTCTGGTAAGGTTTTAATGAGGCAACATTCCCCAGCGCATTATCGAGATCCCGATTGAGTAGCTGACCCGGTTCACTCGTCCAAGGGAGAGTGTTATAACACATATCATATATGGACTCTTATACCGGCCCATTAGGCCCATCAGGGCATTGTACTTAACCTAGATTCCCTATGTACTCTATATATACATTCCAGTGATTAATAAAGTTTCTAAGAAGTTTTCACAACAAAATCAAGTTATTTCCATTTCATCTGGTATTTTTCTTTTTAAGTTTTCGCTTTTTCTTTATTTGGTCTTACAGAGGAAAATCCCAAAAAAAGCTTGCTAATACCAAACAAGCCAAACTTAATTAATTTGAATTTGATTTATCACGCCACTAATCCACTTATCCAAAAGCTGCCTCAATCGAATGTATATAATAAAGCAGGTGGTTATTTAATAAGTTGTTTCAACATTGTAAAAGAAAATGGTTATAAATCTTAATTATTTGACCAAAAACGCAGTTGGCTATTTACTTTGTTTGTGTTTAGAAAGAAATCTCTATAATATTATAGCTCCCGGTTGCACCAAGTGATCAACAAACTTTTTTCTTTAATACAATTAATCAGCTTAAGTAAGTGTTTATCAATTTTCATTTTGTTCGTATATAAAAAAACAAGTCGAAAGAAAAAGCAAAACAAAAAAAGGTGAAGAACATGAGCAAAAGTAGTAAAAATTGAAAAATTAGGAAAAAAAAAGTAAGAACAAAATAAGAAACCTAAAATCAGGAAAAAAGGAATCAAAAGAAGCAAAGATAAGCAGAGAAGGTTTCCTCCATCATTGTTGACTCCCTTTAGAAGAACAACATACAACAATAAAGCTTTCTCTCTCTCTCTCCTTTCCTCAGATTCCAGATTGTCTTCTTGCCAAGATTGCTAAATCCTCATTCTACTCTTCGTTTCCAGCTTCCACCATTTTTTTTAGCCGTGATTCAGCTTCGGTCCTATCAGATTATGTAAATATTCTTCCCGATTCAACTCACTTAGCTTCAGATTCGATCTCCGTTCTAGAGCGATAGTATCGTTCCTGTGTACTATTTTGGCTGCGTTTGCGGTTTTTCCTCGCTCGCAATGGAGACTCCACCGGCGGAGGAGCTGCTGAAGAAGATACGGGAGCTAGAAGAAAGCCAGGAGCATCTGAAGCGTGAGATGTCGAAGCTCAAGGTATCGGCGGAGATTAAGCAGCGTTCGCATTCGATGTCGCCGCAACGGCCTGTGAGGAGGAACCATGGTGACGGAACTCCGATGTGGAGAAAGAGCGGCGCGGCGTCGTTCCGTCACGCTTCACCGCTGCGGAGGGAGAGCCGTGGGCATGCGAAAGCCGCCGGAGCTGGTGGCGAGGGACAATCGGCAGGCAAGTTCACCGATAAACAGTATTTGAATATTTTGCAGTCTATGGCACAAGCTGTTCATGTCTTCGATCTAAATGGGCAAATAATCTTTTGGTGAGTAGTTAGATTCTGTGATTCCACTTTTCTTTTTCTTTTGTTCTTTTCTATTTTTAGTTAATACATATTCGTCAGGACATTTCTGGGATCGAGGATGATCAGATGCAAGGATTGTAGATTTCATTCCTATAGTTTAGGAACGGTTTAAGGAGATGTGATTTCGTGGGTTGATAATGGTAGTTTTTGCTTAACTCGTTTTGTTTGGAATAGAAACAGACAATCTAGGTAGATATGTCCCAAGTGCTATTTAGATTCAAAATTCAATGGCATGGTTGTTCCAGGAACTCAATGGCGGAAAAGCTTTATGGCTTCTCAGCTGCAGAAGCACTTGGGAAGGATCCGATTGATATTCTTGTAGATGAACAGGACGCTGCGGTTGCACAAAATATCACTCGGCGTTGCGGCTGTGGAGAGAGTTGGACTGGTGAGTTTCCTGTCAAGAACAAAGCAGGAGACAGGTTTTCAGTCGTGACTACGATGTCTCCTTTCTATGATGATGATGGTTCTCTTATTGGGATCATATGCATCACAAATGATTCGGCACTCTTTCAAGACCCGAGAGTTACTCCAGCTAAGACAAGTGGGCAAGAAGGGGAGACGAGCTTTAGCAGGGCGACTAATAGTGTTGCATCCAAGCTTGGTCTTGATTCCAAAGAGACTGTTGTATCGAAACTTGGCCTTGATTCTCAGCAGCCTATACAAGTTGCTATTGCATCCAAGATATCGGATTTGGTTAGTTTGATTGCACGTTCTCATCTTTTAATATACTGTTGCATTGTTTGACTAGTGTAGTCAAAATTACAGGCATCCAAGGTGGGCAACAAGGTCAGGTCGAAAATGCAAGCAGGTGATAATTACGCTGCACACCCTGAGGGTGGAAGTGGGGACAGTCATCAGTCGGATCAAGGCTTCTTCGATGCTGCTCTCTCTGACCGGAGGGAGGATGCAGCAATAAGTGGTGCTAGCACACCTAGGGGGGATTTTATCCAATCTCCTTTTGGTGTGTTCATACATAGCGATGAGAAGTCTTCAAAGCCCTCCAGAGATTCCAGTGATGAAAATGATGGAAACTCTGTCTTCCCTAAGAAACTTGCCACAAAAGCTGAGGAATGGTTGGTAAAGAAAGGATTATCATGGCCATGGAAAGGGAATGAGCAAGAAGGTTTGGAAGGAAGACGTGCTCATTCTGTGTGGCCTTGGGTGCAGAATGAACAGCAGAAAGATCAGAGTCATCAAAGTAATTCCTTTCATAGTGTTAAGTCTGAAAGTAATAAGGCTGCCAATAACGAGGCTATGGGGTCTTGGTCTTCCTCTGTAAATGTGAACAGCACAAGCAGTGCTAGCAGCTGTGGAAGTACTAGCAGCAGTGTTATGAATAAGGTTGATATGGATAGTGACTGCTTGGACTACGAAATCTTATGGGAGGATTTGACAATTGGAGAACAAATTGGGCAAGGTCACGTACTCCTTTTGCGAATGACATATCCATTCTTCAAGACATCATACAGATTATGTGGATTTCTGGTCTCTGTTCTGCTAACATGCTCTGATAATTTCCTCTTTATGCATGCAGGTTCATGTGGAACTGTCTATCACGGTCTATGGTTTGGATCTGTACGTTCTTGCCTTTTGTTGACTTTGTAGAATATGCATTGTCGATTTTTACAAGCCTTAATGAGAAATCATGAACAAAAGATGCTCTTACTGAGAGTTGCTAATGTCACTGCAGGATGTGGCTGTAAAAGTGTTCTCCAAACAAGAATATTCAGAAGAGATAATAACATCTTTTCGACAAGAGGTATTGTGTTTATATCACTTCTTTAAGCATGTTTGGTAAAATGACAATTGATATTTAAATTGTTTTTAGTAAGTGACACCTGCCTTCTGCCTTTCATATTTTCGTTTGAAAAGTTACCAGCTAGCTACTCGTTCTAATTTTGAGGTATCTATGCTTTACTTGCTTGATTCTGAAGGTATCGTTGATGAAAAGACTTAGACATCCAAATGTTCTACTGTTTATGGGAGCCGTGACATCGCCTCAGCGTCTCTGTATAGTGACAGAGTTCCTTCCACGGTTCGGTCTCATTTCTTTGACTAATACTACACTTTCTTATGTGCTTTTTAAACTCCGGGACCAAAGCTCTGACTCACACTCTAAATCTATCAAAATAACATATGCAGTGGAAGTCTATTCCGTTTGCTGCAGAGGAACACGTCAAAACTGGATTGGAGGCGACGTATCCATATGGCATCGGACATTGTAAGTACTAGTCAAAATGATCCAGTTGTTTGTTAAGTATAGAAGCTTTTCTATTCTGGTTCTTCGTTGCATCTGTCTTGCGTATCGTTCTTTTCCACTCTTTGGTTCAGCCCCCGTACATCTCATCCAACATGTTACATATTTTATTTACATAATTCTTCCCACAGGCTCGTGGCATGAATTATCTTCACCACTGTAGTCCACCCATCATTCACCGTGATCTGAAGTCGTCAAATCTTTTAGTCGATCGAAACTGGACAGTGAAGGTATTGTTTCCATTGTTAGATTCATATAGTTTCCCTTAAAACTGACAAGTAATAACTATCCATCATGGCCTTTGGTAATTTTGATGAAGCTAAAAAAAGATACTTTTATTCCTACAAAATACTGTCCACTTTCATCTGATATCAGAGGTTACATGATTTCAGCGAACGAATTGGACATGCATGTCTCCAATAGAAATTCCATTTCATTTGTGACACGGGTTGAGAATGTTAGCCTAGGTACAAAAAGAATGTTATTGGGTCTAGTTATTCCATTGTGAGAGCTGGGAAGCTGTATGAGAAAACATCATCTGATTGATAAAATTCGACTTGTTAGAGCTGAAAGCAAAATGTAAAAACCAAATAAAGAATAAAAGATATTCTGAACAAAAAATAAAGCTTTAAACAATGACAAGTCTTTTGTGAATACACCAGAAAAGAGAGGCTTGGAATTTTATTGCAGAAGTAGAAACTAGAATTGACCTGAAGAAAAGCTCTGTTTTTCATAGTTAACTTACTGTGTCATCTCAAACAGGTTGCTGACTTTGGTCTTTCGCGTATCAAGCATGAGACGTACCTCACTACGAAGACTGGAAGGGGAACGGTATTCAACATAGACTCTTACCGAACTGATTCCTCTTTTTTTGTTTTTTTTATGACGTCCATTCTCTCATGATGAATTACATTGCTTTTTACCTGTTTTGAAGCCTCAATGGATGGCACCGGAAGTTCTTCGAAATGAGGCTGCTGATGAAAAGTATAGTCTCATTTTGTGTTGGGTTAAGTTCTTTTGCTTCTTGCTTTTCTAGCCTTCATCTCTAACGATGCTCCTCCTACTCTTTAAACTGCAGGTCTGACGTTTACAGCTTTGGAGTAGTACTATGGGAGCTTGTGACTGAGAAGATTCCGTGGGAAAATCTAAATGCTATGCAGGTATAATTTTCACATTTAGGAAAAAAATGTCAAGAATTGTCCCCATAGGAAACTAGACTAGGGAAATCTGAAATTTGGTCATATCTTAAAGCTATGCAATGTCATAGTCCACGGAAGAATCTCGATTTTACAAATACTGCAGCTGTTTGATTGCTATTATAATGCATATACAGTAAAACCTCTATAAATTAATAATGTTGGGACCATGATATTTTATTAATTTATCGTGATATTAATTTATCTATAAATTAATAATTATTAATTTGTAGAAAACATTTGTTTTCCGCATATAATTTTTTAAAAAGTTCTTTGGAATAGTGTTATATTTCCAAATTTTAACAAATCTCATAATATATATATTATGATTAACAATCATAACTATCGCAATAAAATAGTTTTTAACACCATATTGGATCGCCCATGTAAATATATATATGTTTCATAAGTTTAAAATTTATAAAAGCCTATGGTTACTATCACTATTATTGATGATAAAATTAAAGATAATAGTACAACACATTTAAAAACATTTACATTTGAGAAAATCAATTATCACATCAAAAAAATCATCATAAATTTTAAATGTATATAGTAAAACAGCAATAAAAACTAATGATATAATAATTAGAGAGATGAGAACCAATAAAATCTCAACTTTAAATAAAAACAAAGACATTAGTCATATTTTAGAATATTATATTTACATATATTTGCATAAATTTATATAATTATTAATTTATGTTTTTGTTGGGACCATTTATTTACATAAGAGTTTCAAAAAAAATTATTATCTTATTATCTTATCGAATTTGATGGATTTTTACATTGGCCTGACTTGGAACTAGTAAAATTTATTAATTTATAATGATTATTAATTTATCGAGTATTAATTTATAGAGGTTTTACTGTAGTTTTAATCAACCCCATAAATAAGCTGTACTCAGTAAAGTATTGTTAGGAAACCATACTAGCCATTTGCCTTTTTATGAATTAGAGGTCTTACCGCAAAACATCCCTTCTGCTTAGGAAAGTTTGCATTTTCTGTTTCCTCTTAGTTCCTGTATGTATAATCTCCGCATGCACAAGTGAGCCAAATATGAAGAGAAGTCTATTTAGGATACTTGCAGGTGATTGGAGCTGTGGGGTTCATGAACCAGAGGCTTGAAGTCCCCAAGGATGTTGATCCTCAGTGGATTTCTCTGATGGAAAGCTGCTGGCAGAGGTACGTCTAACATATATAACATATTCAGAAAATATCCTCATTGTATGTTTTGGTCTTTGATAGTAGCATAAAGGATGAACCAGTAACCTATATGCCACACTCTGATTTTACTTCCCTTCCTTTATAGTATTCTTTCACCGAATACCACCACGTACAGTAAGGAATGATTAGGTGTTGTTGAATTGAACTGTGATTGCCAAGAGCCAAGATATACATTTATCACTTTTCACCTAAAGAGATAGCTAACAAAAGTTCTTACGCTCTCTCACAGTTGTGTTTTTATTTATATATCTATGAAGCAGCAGCTAATATGAGTAAGATATATGTGCAGCGAACCACAGCGTAGACCGACTTTCCAAGAAGTTATGGACAGACTAAGAGAGCTTCAAAGAAAATACACGATACAGTTCCAGGCAGCTCGTGCAGCATCAATAGACAACTCTTCCCTCAAGGAAAAATAAATTTTGAAACCCACGGAGCAGAATCTGATTCGCATTGAAGAAGACAAAGAAGAAAAAGCTAAGCTACAGACGCAGAAAAAAAGTTCTTGAGTTTGTGTGTTGAAGCGCAATGAAGAGAAGCAGCAAGAAAGAAGCTTTAGTAAGCTCGATCGGATAGTCTCTCTCTTCATTGTGAGAGGCAAGATTCTTCTTATGGAATTCGTTTCAAAACGTCATGTGCTTGCGAGGCGAGCTAGAGAGGATACATATCTAATTATGCCCGAGGCAGGCCCTGTTTTGTTAAAGAAGTGTCCTGTACATGTGAAAAAAACGGGAATGACTCAAAGATTTAAAACACTGATTTGAGTAAATATTGTCACATTTTATTGGATGATTCCCTTGCTATTGTTTGTGTGTTTTGAGTCTGAGGTTGTTCTGTTTCTTTGCTCAAACTGTCAAACACGTAATAGAAGAAACCCCGAAAATCGTTTAACATGAGCTCAAAATATTCAGTTATCACAAGCTACAAAGTTTAAGATTGGAAGAATTCTTTTTTTATTTCATGAAAATAAACTTTATGTTACATAGGAGATTATATAGCAAAAGGATTTCCTAATCTAAATATATATCCCATTAAATAATAAGTATACAATATACTTAATATTCATACGGTGAATCTTCTAAAACTCTTTTGATTCTTCTCATATCTTCATTAAATATTTTCCTTTTTTTAATAATCTTTGGTTTATATATTCCTTTTCTTTTTATGATTCTGGATCTATTTTTTTCCATTTAATGTAATCATAATTTTTTTTGTTTTTTTGTTTTTACTTTTAGATAATGGACCAGTTATAAATTTGTTTTTGTTAATATTATGTGTTTAAATATACTATTTGTCAAAATCTGATGACATGTGTGATTATCATGCGACTTATTAATTTTAAAACATCATTTTTATATATAAACTAAATTTTATAATTAAATAGATCAAAATCCATAAAAAATACATGTTTATAATTAAATTTTAATAATTCCTAAAAAATTAAAATATCTTTATAAATAAAATTTATGATAGCTTCTAAATTTAAATTCTGTATTTTCTTTAAATTTTTCAACTTTGATTTGACATATGCGAATTATTTTTGTTATAAAATTCTATGTTATATAATTAGATTTATTTATTCTAAGCAGAAATATAATTTTTCATTTTTAGTAAAATATTTAGTTTTTATTGTTTTAAATTTTTATTTATTGTTTAATTTCTGTATTCTAATATAAAATCTATTTTTTTAATTTCCTTAATCTAAACATAAATACAATTATTATTTTTACCCTTTTGGATTAAAATTTTATTAAACGTTTATTTTTATTATTAATAATAAATATTAAATATAATGAAAATTTAGATGTATTAATATTTTATTGAAAAATTATTAAATATGTGTTAAAATTTGATCGATTGATTTGAGAAAAGTTTTAATTATGCGATTTAACAACTTTGACAAATCCTCTTTGGTATAATAAGATAATATATAAAAGATTTATTATTAAAAATTCTTATGAGCGGATGTCATGGGTGAAAATCTTGTTATAAATGAATTTAATTTTTCATAAATATATAAAAAATACTAAATAGTAAAGGTTAAGAAAAACTATAAAAATGTAAAATTCAAATCGTGTTATAACACATATCATATATGGACTCTTATACTGGCCCATTAGGCCCATCAGGGCATTGTACTTAACCTAGATTCCCTATGTACTCTATATATACATTCCAGTGATTAATAAAGTTTCGAAGAAGTTTTCACAACACGTTATCAGCACGATAAGACTCTCTGAGCGAAAAACCCTAATAAATCCGGCCACCACCAAAACCCTAAAAGCAAGTCGAAACTTAAAAGACGCATATCTTCCAAACCGTGAGGAACCAGAAGACTATCTACATATCAAATCGAAGCCCTCGACGAGACGAATCTACTGGTGAAAACCGTTTGTCGATCCAACGTCGGACGCGCCCTCACGCACACTTACAGTACACGACGATCAACCGAAAAAAAAAAAAAAACCAGATCCGAGTTTTTCCTTCTTCAACCAGCAGCTTCTCCAGTTTTGGTGATCAATCCTTGGAATTTGTAGCGGCTAACTGAGGTCTATTAGCTCCCAGTTTCATTAGCCTGTCAGAAATCCAAAGGTGGAAAAGCACACCAGCAAATGGAAACCATAGTCGTAGATAGTGGATCCAGCCACACTATCTTAAGAAACAAAAGTTACTTCATAAACCTAACCTATCAAACCGCAAATATTAGCACCATCGCGGGTCCCTCAAACCTTATCGAAGGATATGGCCATGCCTATGTGTTGCTATCAAATGGCACACAACTTGAAATACCAGATGCTCTATATTCTCCTAGTTCGAAGAGAAATCTTCTGAGCTTCAAGGATATAAGACAGAATGGTTTCCACATAGAAACCCAAGGTCAAGGGAACAAAGAATCCCTCCTAGTCACTAAAACCGTAGACGGCCATAAACAAATCCTCGAAACCATACCCGCGCTCTCTACTGGACTTTACCATGCTAAAGTCAGTATGATTGAAGCTAATACCACTCTCAAAGCCCGGTTTACTGATTATACTATTTGGCACGACCGGCTCGGTCATCCCGGTGCAAATATGATGCGTAAACTAATTCAAAACTCTCAAGGGCATACCCTCAAAGAAAACCGAGCTTATCCTCAACACCTCATGTGCACAGCTTGTTCTCAAGGCAAATTGATCACTCGGCCTTCACCAGTTAAAATCTCTAAACAAACACTTCATTTCCTAGAAAGAATCCAGGGCGATATCTGTGGACCTATACATCCATCTTCCGGACCATTCCGGTACTTCATGGTCCTTATAGACGCATCGACCCGTTGGTCATATGTTTGTCTCTTGTCCTCTCGGAACCAAGCCTTCGCTAGGTTCTTGGCCCAAATCATAAAATTACGGGCCCATTTCCCTGACTTCCCACTAAAGACTATCCGCCTTGACAATGCTGGTGAATTTACCTCACAAGCGTTTAATGACTACTGTATGGCCATGGGGGTAACCGTGGAACATCCTGTAGCACATGTCCATACTCAAACTGGATTGGCTGAATCATTCATTAAACGCATTCAATGGATAGCCCGACCATTACTCATGAGATCAAAGCTCCCGGCCTCAGCATGGGGACATGCAGTATTACATGCTGCTGAACTCATACGCATCCGGCCATCTAGAGAACACAAATATTCCCCATCCTAACTACTCTCGGGTCATGAGCCAGACATCTCCCATCTCAAAACATTTGGGTGTTCAGTATATGTACCCATTGCTCCACCACATCGAACCAAAATGGGACCTCAAAGAAGGATGGGAATATATGTTGGTTTTGACTCTCCCACCATCATAAGATATCTCGAGCCAACCACTGGAGATCTCTTCAAGGCCAGATATGCGGATTGCCAATTCGATGAATCGGTATATCCCTCTTTAGGTGGTGAGACAAACAAGCTGGTCAAAGATCTTTCATGGAATCAAACATCATTAAATTGGCAAGATCCTCGGACTCTAGAATGTGATTCAGAGATCCAAAAGATTATTCATTACCAAAAGCTAGCTAATCAATTGCCAGATTCCTTTGCTGACCCGACCAAAGTAACCAAATCGTACATCCCAGCTTGTAATGCACCAGTACGAATAGCTGTCCCAACGGGACAGACCCAAGTTGCTACAGAGTCTGCACCACGTCTCAACGGGGCAGACCTCTCGGTTCCAAAGATAAGAATCCCCGGAAATCAAAGAAAGGTGCAATAACCGAAACCGGGATTCCTGCAATATCAGACATAGCCGCGGCTGAGACTCAATCTAATGAACCCTCAATGGAAGTTCGGGACGCCGAATCTCCAGGTTCAGAAGATAACAATGAGATCTCCATCAATTACAATATGTCCGGAATACAATGGAATCGAAAAGAAGTCGACTTAAATGCACTCTTTGCATACAAAGTAGCACTTGATGTTGCGCTCACGCAAGAGAATCTAGAACCCACGTCAATAACACAGTGTACACATCGAACAGATTGGCTAAAATGGAAAGAAGCCATAAACGTGGAGTTAAAGAGTCTCAAACTCAGAAACGTGTTCGGTCCGATCATCCGGACCCCATCACACATCAAGCCAGTGGGCCACAAATGGGTCTTTGTGCGCAAAAGGAACGAACTCGGTGAAGTCGTTCGATACAAAGCACGGCTTGTAGCACAAGGATTCTCACAGAGACCCGGAATCGATTATGAGGAGACTTATTCTCCAGTGGTGGATGCAACAACATTCCGATTCCCCATAAGTCTGGCCATAAGAGAAAATCTTGATCTGCGGTTAATGGATGTTGTAACCGCATATCTCTATGGGCCCCTGGACAACGAAATATATATGAGACTCCCAGATGGCATTGAACTAAAAGACAAAAATGCATCTCGAGATCAATACTGCATCAGGCTGAACAAATCCTTGTATGGACTGAAACAAAGTGGGCGTATGTGGTACAACCGCCTCAGCGATTACCTCATCAAAGAAGGCTACAAAAATGACCCCATCAGTCCATGCATCTTCATCAAGAAGTACTCAAACAAAGGATTTGTAATCATAGCAGTATACGTGGATGATCTAAACATCCTCGGAACATCTGGTGAGATCTCCCAAACAGTCGACTGCTTAAAAGCAGAATTCGAAATGAAAGACCTAGGCAAAACAAAGTACTGTTTGGGATTACAACTTGAGTACATCAAAGGAGGAATCCTTGTGCATCAATCGGCTTATATCGAAAAGGTACTCAAGCGATTTAATATGGACCAAGCTCACCCATTGACCAGCCCAATGGTAGTTAGAAGCTTAAGTGATGACCCTCTTGGTCCCAAAAAGGATGATGAAGAAATCCTTGGTCCTGAAAAGCCATACCTCAGTGCTGTAGGAGCGTTAATGTACCTGGCTAGTCACACTAGACCAGACATATGTTTCGCCGTGAACCTCCTCGCTCGATATAGTTCATCTCCAACTCAGAGGCACTGGAACGGTATAAAACATCTCCTAAGATACCTTCGAGGTACTCAAGACTTAGGACTCTTCTATACTAACCAAAATAAAGATGGGTTAGTCGGCTTCGCCGATGCCGGATATCTATCAGATCCGCACACTGCCAAGTCTCAAACTGGCTACGTTTTTACGCATGGAGGAACAGCCATCTCTTGGAGATCAATGAAGCAGACACTCACTGCCACTTCATCAAACCATGCTGAAATCCTAGCCATTCATGAGGCTAGTAGGGAATGCGTCTGGCTGCGCTCCATGACTCAGCACATCCGCAGAGATTGTGGTATGGACGAAGACACACAGCCCACGGTGATGTATGAAGACAACGCGGCATGCATAGCTCAGCTCAAGGAAGGATATATCAAAGGAGATCGGACGAAGCACATTCTACCGAAGTTCTTCTCAACCTCAGACTGGCAGAAGGACGGCATTCTCAGCGTTCAGCAGGTCCGATCCAGTGAGAATTCAGCTGACCTCTTCACCAAATCATTGCCTACTTCAACACACCGGAAGCTCGTCAAACAGATAGGAATGTATAGACTTAGAGATCTGCAGTGATGCTACAATCAGGGGGAGTAATGCGTGTTGTACTCTTTTTCCTTCACCATGGTTTTGTCCCACTGGGTTTTTCCTGGTAAGGTTTTAATGAGGCAACATTCCCCAGCGCATTATCGAGATCCCGATTGAGTAGCTGACCCGGTTCACTCGTCCAAGGGGGAGTGTTATAACACATATCATATATGGACTCTTATACCGGCCCATTAGGCCCATCAGGGCATTGTACTTAACCTAGATTCCCTATGTACTCTATATATACATTCCAGTGATTAATAAAGTTTCGAAGAAGTTTTCACAACAAATCGTGTATTTTTATATGTTTTTTTTTTGTTGTTATCAATTCAGATCTTCCCTACAACCCAAAAAAGGAAAAGAAAAAAAAAATCAGATCCTTCCTTATCCTACTTGTTTTTGGTGTATCAGTTAATAGCTTATAAAAAGGGATATACAGTATCTCTTACCGATCTATCGAAACCATCCGAAGAAAAAAACCAAACCTTAAGCCGATGTCCAATTTAGAAGAGCCACTGTGTTATAAGAGCAAGGAGGAGCAATCTCCGTTACTGTCGCTGCCAGATGATGTAGCTCTGGGTTGCCTGACTCGAGTCTCGAGATCGGACCACGCGGCTTTGTCTCTCTTTTCCAAGAGTTGTTGCTATCCAAGAGTTATTGCTATCCAAAGAAAAAAAACCAACTTTAAACCGATGTGCGATTCCGAAGAGCCACCGTATAAGAAGAGTAAGGAGGAGCCGTCTCCTTTATCGACTCTGCCAGATGATGTGGCTCTGAGCTGCTTGGCTCGAGTTTCCAGATGGGACTACGCGGCCTTATCTCTCCTCTCTAAGAGTTATCGCTCGTTAATGGCTTCGCCTGAGCTCTACCAGATGCGATCGCTGACGGGTCGCACCGAATCTTACGTCTACGTATGCTTACGCACCCCTCCTGTCCCAAATCCACGCTGGTATATCCTCCGCCGTAGAAAAATCTCCTCCGATCTGATACCGATCCCTTCGTTCCCTTCTCAATCTCGGGAAGGATCCTCCGTGGTGGCGCTGGATTCGGCTATCTATGTAATCGGTGGATTGATAAAAGGCAAACCCATTTCGGATGTATTGCTTTTGGATTGTCGGACTCACACGTGGCGCCACATCCCTTCCATGGGAGTTGCGCGAGCTTACCCGGCTGCTGCCGTCGTAGAAGGAAAGATTTACGTTGTAGGAGGCTGCAAGTTCAAAGATTATTCCTTGAGCTGGGGAGAGGTATTCGACCCAAAGACACAAACTTGGGGTTCTTTGCCGCCGATACCGTTTCGGAAGAGACGCCAAATGTATATTCACGACTGTGTGGTGAGGGATGGGAAGGTTTACGCAGTGGATGGAGCGGAAAGAACTACCTACTACTCGCCCGGGGACGGTAAATGGGGAATAGGGAATCTTGGTGAAGTCACAGGGGCTAGAAGGGATTGGTGTATGATTGATAATTTGCTCTACTCTCTTAGTAAACATGGGAGAATATTTTGGTGTGAGCAAGAGGAGTTGGATTGGCGCCAACCAGAGGGTATGCATTGGTGGAAGGAAGTGAAGGGCTTAGAGGTTCTCAATGAGAATCTCTCTCGTTCCAGACTGGTCCACTTTGGTGTGCAGAATGTGGAGATATACAACAGAGCTAAGCTTGAGTTCGATGAAATCCCAGAGTTGGCAGTTTTATTACCTGGTGCCAGACTGAGCAACTCTGGTGGCAACATTTTGCTCTTTTGGGACGAGATGATAGGGAATCTTCAGCAGATTTGGTGTGCAGAGGTTTCCTTGGAGAGACGCCAAGGAGGCGAGATTTGGGGCAACATTGAGTGGTCTCATGCTGTTATGACCGTTGATGTTGATCCTTTCTTAGATCGCTATAAGGTTTTGCATTCTGTTTCTGTCACTCTTTGAGCTTGCTTCATCCGTTGATGTTGATACTCAAAATCTTACTTTTGTATTATCTATGCATCTCCGCTCTATATTATCGTCAGTGAACTGAATAAGTTGTTCGAGTGTCTCTTGTCTTATTTGATCTTCTGCGAGTTGATTTTTCTGTTTGTTCACAGACACTTCATTCCGTTTTGATAAATACTGCAACACATGCTCTGAGATTTTCTTATAGATTTCCTGATATTTGTTATTTTTTCCTAAATCCGTTCTGCTGAAGCATCAGAGATTCAAGGATGGAAACTTGCTATATATGATTTTACGGATGAAGTTCTTTGATGCAAATTGACCTTAATTACAAAATCCTATTTATCTGTTCCTAACTTGTCTAATATTCCATGTGTAAAGATTACCTCTGGTTCAACATACTCGTGACCAGGAATTCAAAGCTCATTGCTTGATTTCTCTTGTTCCTTTTTTTTTTGTTACAACTTTGGCGTAACACTTGGAGCAGAGAGCATGTTGACACCCCTTCTGGTGCAGAGAGTCCTATCTGTGAAGAAGAGCTTCTAGAACGAAATTTGGCTTCAGATATTTCGGTAATCTAGATTAGATGATAATTTCGTATGGTCCTTCGACTTCTGATCCTTATTGCAATCCCTCTGAAGTTGGATAGAGTTTATTTGCTCAATATAAACTGAAAATCGACTAAGCGCTGACCTCTGGGTTACCTGCTAGTCCTGTGAATCCTTTGTCTAGCAATGCTGCTCAAATTCTCCCATTGTTATAGAATCTCCTGCTCCAGAATGAAATCCAAAGGGTTCATTGCCATTTCAAAATGCTTTTTGTTGATGTCCACACATAAATGTCGTTTAGATATTCATCTTCAGGTAGTCTCACACTAATCTTTTTTTTATTGGCAGAAAAGATTAATCGGATTAGTTCAACAACTGCTGGTAAGTTTTCTGTTCTGTAAGCAGATTTTTGCATCTTCTCTGTTTTAGGAGTTTCATTGATCTTGGTTTGTACAGACAAGTAGATACGGAAGGCGGGCAGGTTGGGTTTGCTTCTCACTTTGCTAATGACATATATAGCATATATGCATAGAGAGGAAGTTGTGTGAGGACAGAAATTAGAGCCTTGAGCTCTAAATTCACAGATATCAACGGAGACATATATCTATCTTCTGAGGTTCACTTCTTGGAGCAGAGGTAATGAGATCACTCTCCAAAAGCTTCAGACAATAACATGAGTCTTTGAAAGGACAAAAATTCTGCAATTGTCACCTTGGAGCATGGGGAATACCTTTTTAATACTCTTACGAGTCAACAATTATCCATCTTCCAAATAGTTTTTTTCTTTTGTTTTGGGTTCATTCCAAAAGTGAAACTAATGATTGATTGTTTTATTGGTTATAAATGCTACGGGGTGAAAAAAGCTTGAAGAGGAAGATGAGAATCTGAAAAATAGCACGCTCAGGTATGTGACTTGTAAAGATAGCCACACTCACATATCATCATCCTCGTCTTCTATTAATCTATTACATCATCATCATCACCATTTCTAGAAGTTTCCTAAAAATATAGTTTAATCATATTTCAATGAAAATGACCAAGTGCATTATGGCGAAAAACAGTTAATTCGCATTTTAGCAGGAAACTGACGAAAATCGTAACTTCTTTGAAAAAAATTAACGGACCGATAAAAATTTGAAATTTTGTTTTTACAACGAATATTGCAGAATATGTTTTAGTAAAACAAAAATAGTGGAATTGCATCTTAACGGTAGCTGAAATGCATTTTGATGGATGTTGGATTTAGTTGCGATTTGGCATAATCACATAATTATTAAAATTAGTTCATCCAACTTTGATCGCATTATCCGTATCTGTTAATTCCAAGACGTGCAATGAATATTGTCAGGGGTATGTCGACAAGGCGTATCTTCCAATGCAGGCTATATGCTTCAGAATCCATTTGAGCTTTTACAAGATCATGTAAAATCGGTTCTTGAGGAATGAGGAGGACATTGATATGTTCAAGCTCTTGAATAATATTATGACACAGAGTTCGATAATTCGAAAGGATCAATTTTTACTTCAATTTACAAGTATGTAATTGTAGTTGAGTTATGTTTAGTGCATAAACGGTTGATCGAATCGTGCCTAACCAATGGTACAATGTCAGGTTTTCTTAAGATTTAAGACGTAACCGGCTGGTTCGTGGTCTTCGCTTTTGAGATATGAATCTCTTTTTCGGTTAAGGAAGGAAAGCTGGCCAAAATGTTGAATTGTACATGCATATATTTCTATTGATGATATGTTTAACTTTTGGGAATCAAATATTAAACTACAAAAAAGTATACCTCTATTTTAATTAATTTTATATTTTTCACATTTTTATGAATTAAGATGACACGAGGGCATTATAATTTACTTTAGCTTTATAAAACAGAAGACAGCTTTTATTCACAACTTTAGAATATGTAACAAAAAGATCGAATTACAAGTATGTAATTGTAGTTGAATCATGTCAGTGCATAAAACGGTCCTAGATCAAATCGTGCCAAACCAATGGTACGATTTCAGGTATCTTATGATTTAAGACAAAACCGGCCGGTCGTGGTCCTTCTTCTGTTCTTCAAGACTGTTTTGTTTGTTTCTTTTCTTCTGCATAGAGAGAAAGAGATCATTTTTGGAATCTCAGTCATCTGGGAAAAATGGTGGCTCGGAAGTTTATTCATCCGCCACCGAGATTTGAGCTTTAATATCGATTACGACACTGAAAATGGCCTTGAGGTCTCTCTCACTCTCTCTCTTTCTTCCAATTCATATTCGTCACCGATTCGATTTCGTGATCTTCCGCCACAAATCGATGCTGTCTTGTTTCTTCTCTGCAGGTTTTAGGATATCAAATATTCTCCCTCACTTTTGTTCCTCCTGATGAGCAAAAGGTACTTCTTTTAGTTTTTCGTTTTTCCTGGTTCGGTGATGGATGCAAACTCTGATGATTTCTGTTATCTAATTGTTCAATTTGTGGGCGATAGATCGTTGCGGAAGATGATGATGATCGAGTGGTATTGGTATCGGATGAGACTGATCTCACTTCTATATCCGATAAGCTTCGATTGGTCTCAGCTGGGGGAAACTCTGAGGACAAGTCAGAAGGAACCTCTGGTAAGAGCGAGAAATCCGATGCGGACATGGTGAAATCAGACGAAGAGTTGGCACGAATGTTGCAGGTTTTTTTATTAGCAGTCGTATCAATGTTGAATGTAATTCTGGCTGCTCTTTTCATTTGGGTCTCCTACTTACAGGCAGAGGAAGACGCGATGATGTTTCAACAGTATGTTGCTGCAAAAGATAGCAGCGAACTCGAGAGGAGGATTGGGATTTATGTCAGCCAAGTCCTTATGGTGATAGACTAGAGTTCTTTGAATCTTTTTTCTACAAGAATTTTGTATATGTGTTGGATGTCTGACTGTAATATCTGTTTCAGTATGAAGATCCAGTCAGCCAAGAAGCTGCTCGAAAGACCGTTCCTATAGACGAGCTCGAGGAGAAAGCTTTGGTTTCTCTGGCCAAGGTTTGAGCTTATATTCACCGATGAATAGAAGTAAAAGTTTTGATATTGAAATCCTTGATGAAATTTAGAATCAAAGGTTTTAGGTGGAGTTTTACTTGAGCTTTAGATCTTACATGAGAGTTTTAACTGATCCATGTTTCTAACAAACATTTAGGAGGGGAATTTTGAGCCATCGAAACATGAAAAAGACTACGCGTTCCTGCTTCAGCTACTTTTCTGGTTCAAAAAATCCTTCAGTTTTTTCTGAACACCCTTTTGCTTGTCTTTTAGGACTTCTCAGTTTGTCTCTCTGTGCAGCATTTTTATTTGTAAGAATATGTAGTAGTTTCAAATAACCTCTTCCTCTGTTGTTTCCTAGGTGATAATGCAGATGGGTCAATGAACCTTCGTGTGACTATTGTGGAAACAAAACCATAGGCCAGGGGATGGGAAACCCACTTACCTCAGAGCTTGCTTATGGAGCAAATCGAGTTGAACTATATGGGTATGTGAATTACTTTGCAAGCTCTGCGTAGATTCTTTTGCGCGAAATGTAACATGTGTAACATGTTTATTCTGAATTCACGGCCTTTATTCTAGGAGAAATTGTAAGACTGTAAAAACTGAATCATTCCTATTATATCTAGTGTACTGCATTGAGACAAGAATTACTCGATTTTTTACAGCAATTTTGTTTATTTTCTGTTGGCTAACTCTTTGGGCTTACTGTTTTGTGGTTATACTATAGCTTATAAAGGTGTACCTCTTGTCCAACAATTACTCGATTCCCTCGGTACAATGATCCGCTTAAGGTAACTATATAGCTTGTACATTTGAAGATATAATATAGTTTAGACTATATTGACAGGTTCCATTTTTCTTCCATGTTCATGCAGCTTGTAGAAACAAAGAGATGTCGTTGCGGGGAGTGGGCCAACTGCTTTACGCTATACTGCCGCTCGTTTGGTATTCTGCTAACTAACATCGTCACTTCCCGCAAATTTGCTGGTACTGTTTTTCTGTTTGTTATGTGTTTTTGTAATAATTTTATTCATTTACAGAGAATGGACTTCACAGATCACGTCCGGACGTAGTGCTTCTCTCACTCATTGGGAAGGTAAACTTCATTTGCCAAACAAATGTCTATTGATTGCCTTTGTAGGAACTTTCAAACGTGAAGCAATTTCAAGCGAATAATTTCTCCCTTTTTGTTTTTCTGCAGATGGATCCATCTTGACCCTTGTGAAGGAGTGCATGACAAACCCATGCTATATGAGAAAGGGTAAGTTTTCTTTCTTTGAGCAATCCCCATAATGGACTCCCATATTCTCACAAAATCTAGGCCTTGTCGATGGGGTAGAAATTTAATTATGTTCTTTCTTTGAGCAATCCCCATTTTGTTATTGTTATTGAATTATGTTATTACGACTTTCGGAGTTGTCTCGAGCCAATCAAGTATGGGAGCCCGGAGGATCAGTGGTTAAACATGTTCAGTGGGTTTTGTTAAAGAAGGTTTACACGCGTGGTAATGTGTGGAGGTCTGCTAGAGAAAATTTTCATCAGAAGTACAGTGAGGCAGAAAATAAGAAACTAAGAAATCTCAAAGATGATGTTGATAAGGTTAAGAACAGTTTCTCAAGAGATGTTCTGGTCACATTAATCTTGTCTATGGAGGTATGTAGGACGGGTAAAGATTATGGGTATATTCATGACTTTGAGCTGGACCATATTCATTCCATTGGCGAAGATGAGCTTGTGTGTTGTGTTGAAACTACTGAATTACTACAAGCACGAGATTGGGTTAATTCTGACATGTTTTTGAGAGCAAGACATTATCATGCTAAGGGAGCCTTGCTAGGAAATTTGGAGCAGTGTAAAGTCTGGTGTTATCTTCTCAGAACACATTGTAAGCAAGCTGGGGTGGTGAACAAAAACGATTGCAGAATCATTGAAAAAGCTGGGGAATTTTTCATCTTTGTGGCGATTTACGAGCACATGGAGACAGCTTGTGTTCGACTGAGAATGGGTTTAACTGGAGGCACACTCCACAGTTTTGGAGATAGAAGAGTGCAAACAGGGCCTAAGCTACCATTACATTCTGGTGTTGCTTGGGTTGTTGAGGTAAGCAAGAAGATGACAGGAACAGCAAGAACGAGGGAGTATTTTGAGAATCCTTCAGCGTCAATCTTTACACGTGGAGTGTTCCACTGTCCGAGACCACCAGGGCGATCATTTGACGAAGTGCGTTCCTGGTTTCTGTTTGTGACTGCAGTGCTGGTTAGTTGTGACTCGTGACTATAGTAAGAGCATTAAAGGACCTGTAAGTTGGGCTTCTTCATTGGATTAGTCAATCAATTAATCATAATTCATAACCAACAATTATCTTCCTCTCCTCTTCTTTCTCTCGTCCTCTTCCTCTACTCTTCTTCTACCTCTTCGCTTATCAGTTTCTTTCTCCGCACTTCCTTCTCCTTCGTTACGAATCTTGTTGATCTTAACTTGTTCGTCGCAATGAACATGGTGATTCCAGTCTCTAAAAAGAATTTACGTGTTTTGCCATTAACCTTTAATTTGCATGGTTATTAAAAGCTTTTAGTCCACGTTGTCATCTTTTTTCTCCTTGTATCCTTCACATTCACCTCTCTCCACTTTTTCAAACATATGGTGGAGAGGATACTTTCCATGGAACATCCCGTGATTATGGAAATAACCGTTATGATAGTTTCCATATATAGTCTACCGTGGAGTTTCAGGTATGATCGGCTATATGATCAAACTTATATGGCTACATATCAAGAAAAAATTGTTCCTTATTTTTTCTCGTAGATTCCCACATTTTGACTCATTCGTCACCAAACCTAGTTGTGACTTACTCATCCCTAACGATTCTTTTAAAGAAACAAAAGAATATCGTTATAATCCAACCACCAATTTTCCAAATTTCAACAATGCAATTTTACATTTTGATACCAGAATTTTTGTCTTGTGACTCATAAACCTTTAGTTTTGGTTATCAACATGAGTGAGTGAGGCCTTAAGCCCACAATTTAAGTGGGGGCTTAGTGAGGCTCTAGCTAATTCGTTAAACGACGTCGTTAGACTGCTTCTGATTCGACTCAGAACGACGTCGTGTTGCTGATCACTTGGTCCGTCGCTCGCTGGTTTCACTCTCGTCCCTAAGCCGACAGATTCGAAAACACAAGTTGGAGGGGCGTTTTAAAACCCTAAATCGCGAAAAAGGAAACGGAGATTCCGGTAACGCAGATGTCGTCTTCTTCTCCGAGTGGCAGCGGTGGCGATTTGACTGAGAGAAGAGGGATTCCCGCCGCTAAATTCATCCAAGATGTCGACACTTACCTCTCGCAGTCCGGCCTCGATTCTAATTCTGCTCTCGCCTTCCATCAAGAAAGGTTTCTCCTTTCATTTCTCCTCACATCAGTTCTCAGTTAACTACGCATTTACTTGGCTTCTTCTTCTTTGCTCGATTCCAGATCTACTGTCATGATCCAATTACACTAGCTTGATTGAATCCTGAATCATTCCGTCACGCTCATATTGCGAGCATAGTAGGTTGTATGTAGCTTGTACTCGTTAATGATTTTTTTTTCCTTGTGTGATTCTGTTTAGGCTTCAGCAATATAAAGTTGTTGAAATGAAGCTTCTTGCCCAGCAAAGGGATCTTCAGGTTCACTTCTCTTCTTTTATAAGTATATATGATGAGTGGTAGTATTTTCTCTAAGCTCTTACGATGGATGTTTATGTTTTCAAGTTATCTTCTTAACTTAGTAACTTGATGATATGTTAACAGTTTTGATAAATTGGCAGGCTAAAATCCCAGACATTGAGAAGTGCTTAGAGGTTGTTGCCACTTTGCAAGCAAGGAAGGGTACTGGTGAGGTTCGTTGTTAATTTTCAACAATCTCTAGTAATCATACTTAGATAGCCTTGGTTTTGCATAAATGTTGTTCTGTTTTTACGTTTAATTTTGATCTTGTGATCAGTATCTTGCTGCTATTTTTGAGATTGTTGGTGGCCAATTGTAAACGTTGTTTGAACTTCTGAATCCAGAATCCTGACTTTTAATTTCATACGGTTGAACTTGGTTGTGCTTTGATTCTTTACCGATGTTTATTTGCCAACTTTGCGTCCATGTTAAGATTTTCCTCTTGTCTTTGCGCGATTCAGGCATACTCAAAACTTTTCTTATAACCTGATAAGCATGCTTGCAATTGAAAGTCTGTTTTTGAAGATCGTGGTTGATAGGTTGGAAAGACAATAGGGTGCTGCTAAATCACCAATCAGCTTTCTTGTGCCTATGGGCCCTTGGATTAGTGTCTATAAGTCGGGTTTGATGGTGACAGCAGAATATGCTGTGTCACGGAACATAGTTCTAGCTTCACTGGAAGAATCAACTGACACATAGATTGTAGTGGGCATGATGTTTCATCATTTTTATATGAAAGTTGCTTTGATGTACCCACTTACGATTCTTGTGTTAATCATCTTCTTTTCTCACATGGATTTCTTCTTACACTGCAGGCGCTTTTAGCCGATTTTGAAGTGTCTGAAGGAATATATTCAAGGGCCTGTATTGAAGACACAGACTCGGTGTGTTTGTGGCTGGGAGCAAATGTCATGCTCGAATATTCCTGTGAAGAGGTTCATTACTTTGAAAACATATTCTCTTCGATGCTCTAAATTTCGGGCTCCAGGGACCGTAGAATAAGTTCTTGTAATTTTTGTTGTTCCAACAGGCTACAGCTCTTCTGAAAAACAATCTGGAAAATGCTAAAGCCAGCCTGGAGGTTCTTGTAGCTGATTTACAGTTCTTGAGGGATCAAGTCACAGTTACTCAGGTACTGAGATACTTACATATTTACCTCATTTCAATTGAGTCAGCGCATAGTTTTGTGAGAACGTTTGAGTAGAGGCTTTATTACATAACTGTGAGTTTCCAAACCGCCCAAAATTGCAATTGGTGACCCGGTTAATCTAATAATGTAGATATATATATATATATACAGAGATTGAATAAAGGTTAGTTAATCGTTCTTGACTAGGACTTTTTTTGGTGATGGACAGGTAACTATTGCGCGTATTTATAACTGGGATGTTCATCAAAGGAGGGTTAAACAAGTTACATCCACTGCTATTGCTGCTGCAGACTCGTGAATCACCAGGGCCATGTCTATGTTATGGATTGAAAAACAATGGGCTAGGGCCTAATTTTAATAAAGTACTCTTAAAAAAATTATTTTGTTCAACATATATTATACTATGATTTAAAAGCTCACATTTATATCGAAATATCGTTGAAGTTTAAAGAGATTTTTAGAATTTTTTTAATATTTTCACACAGAACAAAACATTAAAAAAATATATATTAAATCAAACTTAAGGTATAAAAAATCTATTTAATATTGCTTGTAAATCTAATTAATTGTTTGTTTTATAAACTTATGTGATTATTGCAACTCTGTTGGTCCTAGTCGGTTGTTTGTAACTCTTGATTTGTGTGATCTTGATGAAATTTTGTTTCGGCGACAAACTTATGAATAGGACATTAGCATCAGTTGTCTTCTGTTTTTCCCTACATTGTTGTCGAGTTTTGAGACCAGCTTGTGGTTTTTGTGATTGAAGTACTATTTGCAGTATCTGGTGGTCTTGAACTCTTGATCAATGTTCTAATGGCTAAGTGTTATTAACCAATTATGTTTCTGGAATTATTATTTTTTTGATAGGAGAAATTATCAAAAGTTAATTTGTCATTTTTCTCGGAAATCTAGGTTCAATATTGGTGACGAGGGTCATGACGGCAATGAGAAACAAAAAGTGGAAATGAGAAACAAAAGTGATCAAATCGAACCTTTTATAAGCTTTTCTCATTAACGCATCGGCATTTAGAGGAATCAGATTTCACTTTCTTGAATACATTAATACAACATATTTTCTTGTCACTGATATGACATTTTATAGTAAATCTTTTGCGAGGATTCAACCAGCCATTATTATTAAATCAGAGTAAAATTCGTGTTTGATATTTCGGCTAACCATTTAAATTGTGATTTTAGGATAAAAAGATCTTTCTTTTGCAACACTCATAATTTTTAGTATAATTTTTCAGCGCCTTTTTAGACAAATGTAGCATCATGTTCTGTCAAAAATGCCCAGTTTATCAAGTTGCAGGCATTTATATGAACATTTTGAGATTTCCGTCGTTCCCAAAAGAAGAATATTACGTGAGAAAACAATTATATCAATCAATATAAATAAAGAAAAAGTAAATGGAGCATAGTTTTTTTGTTGATAGTTAGGGCTTGAATTGACCCTTAGAATGGACCTTTCAATTAATGATGGTCCATATTTCATTTAATGACTTTTACTTTTTTTTTTTTATTCCATCAATTTCACAAAGAGTGTCGTTTTAAGGTTTTATTTTTGTTTCATAAAGAATGTCGTTTTATATTTTCAATGCAAAATTTTAAATAATATTTCAGTTTTAACCCTATTAATTTAATGTATTTATTAGATAAAAACAAATATTTAATATATTAATAAAGAACAAAATTGTACTTTTAATAATTTTCTTAATATGTGTGAAAAATCTCAGAATGACAATCTTTGTGAAACGGAGGGAATATCTGTTAATTTTATTTCGTTATTTTTTATTTGTTGAGAAAATGGTTCATTTCTTTGTTTTCCTGGAAACTATTCCTTCATATTTTTCCTCCGAAAACCACACTCATGCAAATATTTATATTACATCTATATTAAAGGTTGTACATAGTACATTTAAAATCCGAGAAACCCTATTCTTCTAATATACGATCCCGCAATTGATGGATATTGGTTACTGGTTACGAATAGAATAGTTTGGGAATACACGGTGTCGTAATTTTCGTTAAAAAGATTTTAGGTTATATATATAATGTTCATAAAGACATGTAAAATGCATTTATAGGCCTCCCACATAAGACGTTTTTTGGGTCTAATAACAACTTTCATATACGGCCATAACAGCTTTACAATTCAGAGAATTTTGTGAATTTTGGTGTCTCCCCTATTTAATTCAACGTTGGATGCATTAGACGTATTTAGCATTCGAATTGACTAAGGTTGAATTTCTAATAGACTTTCTACGATGCTATTATATCTTTATATATATTTAGTATGTGCTATATATAAGATGGAGATATCCTTCGTACTTGTTAAGAGTGTAATTGATTATAATTTGGATAAACCGAACCGATTCAATCTAATAAAATCTAGTTAGAAATCGATGTGATGAAAAAACATTTGATTTAAAATAACGTTATGTGTCATGATAAATGATGTTTACAGTTTTCATTTGTTCCTAAGTAAGTAAGGTTTTGCCCTCTTTCAGTTAAGTCTTATTTAGTACAAAAATTGAATCAGTTTTTACGTATTATTTTTTTTCATATAGATAGTGATATGTATGATTTATCTGATTTTACCAATAAAACATATCTAACATAAATCATATAAAGTACATGTGATAAAAATGTATAGACATGTAAATGGTTTACATATATATATATATATATATATAAATAATACACTGGCACAAATTATAGACAACATCTCATATTGTTCAAACGAGAACAAGAAAAAACCAAGATTAGCATAATCCATATACAAAAACGAGATGGTCGTCAAATATTAAATACAATAAAAGGTCGCAAATTTGTGTAAATTTGTAGTCTTAAAAATAGATTGTAGATAATATTTCGTTATCTGAAAATAGGAGAGATGGAGAAACGTACACGGAAAACGAGGGCGATTTTCTTTGTTTTTTTTTCCTTTTTTTTTTGAAGAAGCAAAGCCAAAGCAGCTGTCTGTCCCCTCAGAGTTATTAAAGTGAGTTTGTCTGCTAGTGATCAATAACGCGTTTTTTAGGGTTTAGCGTTACAATATTCCATTTTAATCATATACTCTCTCATCTCTCTTGACTTTGACTTTTTCTTCTTGTAATCTTCTTGGGTCATCCCTCCACAATTAAATTTGGGAATAAACAAAACAACGGACTTTTTTTGTTCTTGTTTGTGTAATAAAATAAGTTAAGAAAAAAAACTAAAATCAGCAAAGCCGCAATCATCGGTAGATGTTCTCACTCGACATAAGAAAACCCCATTTCTTAAGTCAACAGGTTGTTTTCCCTCCTCCTACATTTCACCCAGAACGAATCTTGACCTTTATTCTTCTCCTTCCATATATATTCTTTATTTTACAAAAACCAGATTACGGATCTACATATTAAACCAAATCTACACTAATCTATCATTTATTTAGATTCTTGATATATAATTATATACCAAAATCGTATACAAAATCACGCTTTGTTGATTTGAAGATAACCTGGATTATTTTTTGGGAATGTAAACTTTTATGTTTGAAATCAATTTATTTTAGGTTGTTAGTTGTATCGTTTGGTTTGGGTTGGTATTAATTTTCTTTCAGACGTAGCTCTCCACTAACATTACTATTTTTCTCAAAACTTATATTTATGTCTTGGTCTCGTTTCATATACATATATGCCAATCTCTCTATCTGAACTCTGAAGTATAAGGTTAGCTCCGATGCGAGTTTCATATAATCACCGACTTGTAGGATACTAATCAGTCTTCAAAGTCAATGAACACATTGTTATTATGTACCTTGTAATTATACGTACATATTACACACACACATGGCTCATTTGGCTTGGACCGACGATATCTAACTCTTTTGACCTTTATTCTTTTCAGTATTGACAAGTGACATGACAATAACATGTTCAAAACTGTCCAAATTTAATCTTTGAGCATTAGAGTTTTGAAACTGTGCTGTGGTCAAAGGATACTATTTATATATCAACAATGATAAGTCGTCCAGAAAAATTATATTTATATATCCATATTCCATACTACTATACCAAATAAATTTGAATGAGTTAAACTCCAAATTTATCTGTGTATACTAATATAAATACACGATTAATTATGGTGGAATAGATTTAAGAAAAATGTTGGAATAGATATGTATCTCCTTGTGGACCTCGTCCAAAACTCAAATGATAATACTAAAAACAGAAAAAAAGAACAAAAGAATCTATGAAAAAAATGTTATAGTGAAAAAGAATTTAGAATAATTAAAATTAAAATTAAAAAATTTATTGAAAGGGCTTATATAGTTAGGCCAATGATATTGTCGTATTTAAACTACCTTAGACCATCTTCAATGGGAGGATGTTAGAAGAAGCTATTCATATTGTATATATAGAAAATAATAATTAAATATTATAAAAGTTTTTAAAATAAGAAAGAGGGTATCCAAAATCTCTTGTTTCAGAACCTCTCTTTATACATTTAAAGACTCTTCTCTTCTCTTTTTACAGAATTTCATTTTATATTATTATTTTGAGAACTCTTACACTATTCTTAACAATCTTTGGTTGGAGAGGGTGTTAGAGAAAATATTTCAGAGGATTGAACTGTTTCTATGATGGGATTGGAATAACCCTAAAACATCAGGGTGGAACACTATGACACACCAACTTTCTCTGATTCATATATTTTATTTTGTGAAAGTATCGCTTTAAATACAGTAATAATATTTGTAACAGTTTAATATCTATTAATCTATAGATTTTATTGCACGTAACGTTAAAATGTTGTACTCAAGAATTGAAGTATTTATATGAAGCTGGTATAAAGAAAAAAAATCAATATTAGTTTCTAGAAAAATGCCCCTACTGCGAATCTTAGAACATTACGCTTTAAATCGAAATATGAAATTGATTGATCAGGATAACTCAACTCCAATAATTGAAAAAGTTTGGTTGAACAATTGATGGTCAACACCTTTGACATTTGACCACTTCGTCTTACCCTTATTGAAATATATATACATTTTTCTTAGATCTGGTCTCGTGAACTTTAGCAGTTAGCTAGCTATGATCCTGTGGTCAATCATATACATTATTTTAGTTGTTTGATGAGTTATAAAAGCAATATATAATATCATTCGCGGCGATAAATCATCTATGTACCATGTGCACAACACATGTATACGACATACATGCTACATATCTATATATATAATGTTTCGAAAGTGAGATTAAAGTCAGTAAGGCACTAAAATAGTATGTTTTTTAAATCATACCAAAGAATATAATTAGACCCTTGAGTCTAACTAATCGCACTACACTTACATATATATGCGTGTGAAAGCTATTATATTACTAATGAATATACTTCCATTCTAAAACACTTTAATATACTTCCTTTCGAAAACGAATAATTAATCAA